CCCCCCACCTCAATCGTTCCCAACTCTTCTTTCATGAAAACCAACCTTTCACACAATTACCATCTGTCATTACCTTCACACCCATCATACTTCCTAACCATTCCCAATCATTCCAATCTTGCCTGCTAACAATCCCACCATTGTATCTCTCATTTATATAATTCCCATCATAATATCTCATCAGTGCAATCCCACCCAAACTTACAACATATTCATCCATCCACCACCACCCTTGTAAACCCTCATTCCTGTTTAACAAATCCCTTCCCAATCCCTTCCCAATCCCTTCCCAATCCCTTCCCAATCCCTTCCCAATCCCTTCCAAATCCCTTCCAAATCCCTTCCAAATCCCTTACAAATCCCTTACAAATCCCTCCCAAATCCCTTCCAAATCCCTCCCAAATCCCTTCCAAATCCCTCCCCTATCCCAACCCCCCTTCCTTGCTCCCTGTTAAAAACTACAGCCCTGTAAAACCTTTTTGCCCTTATCAGATTCCCTGCTGAATAATTTAAAATAAATTAAAGATTAGTTTCTGTTTCTCTGCGCTGGAAAATGTTGGAAAATGACACCATCAGCTACCTTGCCAAATACATATGTACTAATATATATACAACAGCAACATCAAACAACAACATTCTTGACATGCCAACAACAGCTATACAACAATACAAGTTAAGACATTCAAAACAACATTATTAATACAAAAAAATTAACAGTGGAAGAGTAAACCCCCATTAGTTCAAACTAAAGGCAAAGAAAGTTAACTAGAGCGATAATAACAGCAATTAGCAAACCACAAAAGTCATGCCAATCTCTGTAGAAATCTTAGGATATAAAACAATTTGTAATCACGCAAAGGCTAAAAAAAAATAAACTATGACGATACAGATGATAAGTAATGCATTTTTTTTCAATACGGAACAAAGAACCTGTAAAATCTTTCCCTGGGATGTTTAGAAAGATTAAAATTTCCCTGTATGATAATTGAAGGACTGCAGTATGGTTTTGGTGAATTATATTGATGTACTAAGCCTAGGGGTGTAAGAAATGATTTTTTTGCATATTTTTAAAAACTTATATAAAACTTTTAATGATAAAAATTTTTGTTCTGGATGATTGCAAATATCTATCTAAAACTTTCTTAAACCGGCATATTTTTTCTATATTCATTTTTATAGAATATATAGGGGATTACAAATTGGCGTTGTTGCCCTCCCTCCCTCCATTAAGTGATCAGCTGATTAGTATTAAACTAGCTTTTTTGTCCACGAAAATAGTGCAAAACTATAAAGAAAATATGCTTAGAAGTGCTTCTGACTCTACTTATATATTTTTATTAAAAAAAAAAAATTCTGCTTGGTTTCTGTATCCCCTCCCCCTGTATACCGGATACCCCAGTAAAGCCCAGTACTTTGCAGTACATTGTAGTACCCTGTACCCTGAAGCACTCTGTATACCCTGTTACAATCACTTTCCATTAAAAGATTTTCGAATTACAAATTGGTGTTTTTGCCATTCCTCCCTCCAATGAATCATCAGCTGTTAACTTTTAAACCATCAACAGAATGCCTTTTATACTGTTTTACACAAATGAAAATAATGCAAAACTAGAGTAAAATGCAGCCCAGAAAAGCTTCTTTAAGTTCTAAATATTTTTGTTCGAAATAAAAAATTCTGTTTGGTTTGGCAACTTTTTTTTGCAGAATCTTTCCTACTTTCTGAAAGGTTTTACATCGGTATGTTTAAGGATATCTACTCGATATAAAGCAATATTTATTAATACTTATTTTGACTCAAACTCTGAACTAAATGAATATAGAAAAAATATGCCGGTTTAAGAAAGTTTTAGATAGATATTTGCAATCATCCAGAACAAAAAGTTTTATTAAAATTAAACTTTTTTAGGTTTATTGGACGTTTTCAAAAAAATGCAAAAAAAATCATTTCTGACACCCCTAGGCTTAGTACATCAATATGATTCACCAAATCCATACTGCAGTCCTTCAATTATCATACAGGGAAATTTTCATCTTTCTAAACATCCCAGGGAAAGATTTTACAGGTTCTTTGCATCTCCAATTGCTTAAAGCAATAATGACATCTATACTGAATTATTCTGATCTAATTCTGTACAAAATACAAAAGACATCATCAATATAAGTTAAATCACATATTAACTTGTTTGTTTTTGTTGTTAGTACTGAACAGAAATCAAGCATGCCAACCTTAACTAAGCGTTCGGTGTGTTCGGAAGTAATTTGCAGTACTCTCACCGAAGAAATAGTGGAGTTTAGAGTAGAGTGCTGTGCATGCCGACTTGATCAATAAAAATTTTAAAAGTTACGAATAATAATGTGCTTATTATTGATAGTAAATTTAAGCATCTTCTACATTTATACTTTGCTTGTTTGGGCGATTGTTTGTTTGTATTCAATATCCGTCAAACCGATCTGGCCCAATTTTTTTGTGGGAACTCATATGACCCCAGGGAAGGGTTTGGGATGCTCAGAACAACAAAAATTTGAAATTTCGTTAAATTTTAAAAATCCTCGAAAAAAATTTGTATATAAATTCTGAGAAGTTTTACCTAATTTTTTTTTCGAAAAAAAACTGTATTGAAGTTTCAGCCAGTCAAGTGCCTGAAAGTTCATTAGTTAAGAGGAAAGAACAATAAAATATCAACTCAATGGCCAGACACAATATTTAAACCCTAAATCTTAAATATTAGTCCAGGTCAGTTCTTTGACAGAAAAATAATTTATTTGTTTTGTCCCCTTCCACTCTCCCCTTCTTAAAGCATCTTCTCTATCATAAAATATGTTCCAACTTTCACGGATTTTTTTATTCTAAAAATGTCCAACCCTCACAATATTTTTAAGTGCATTTTTTCCAATCAAATAAGTATTAAATAAATCTATACTTATAATTAAAAACTAAATTAAATCTCTTCAAGAATGGATCTTAACTGTAAGCGTAGTTTCAAGGGATCCTCCATGCAAGGATGGCAATGCCCCATTTACTACAAGTTTTGTTTATTTAAAGGGACAGTAAAGGAAAAATGAAAGGGGGTATAGGCTGAAAGCTAATCACTTTAGCTCTTGATCGCGACCCATGAAAGTTTTATCTGATGTTCCTGTCTCGAGAAACTGATATAAAACTGTGTTAAAATTATACGAAAATTCATATATGTAAAATTTGAAAATCTGAAACTTAAATCACGTGACCAGAACTATCACCAATGGCAGAGCAGTATACTGGTCACGTGTCTCCGCCTGTATCACTTGACCACTTTACTGCACTGCCATTGGTGGAATTTCTGGTCAAGTAATACGGGCGTAAAAATAAATTATGAATGAAATCTGTTGAAAATAGAAACAACAAATATAAAAGTAAACCCAAATTACAATTAGCTTTCTCTGGGATATCATCGTTTTCAGATAGGTTGCTTATTTGCTGAATATGATCTGTTTAAACCTACTACTTTTATACAAATTTGTATATATATTAATTTTCGTATAGATTTTACACAGTTTTATATCAATTTCTCGAGACAGGAACATCAGATATGACTTTCATGGGTCGCGATCAAGAGCTAAAGTGATTAGCTTTCAGCCTATACCCCCTTTCATTTTTCCTTTACTGTCCCTTTAAACTGTTTATTTTCATTTGCGGGTTCTCTGCATAAGTGACTTGCGCATTTCCGTGTTTATAAGAATAAAGAAATTATCATAAATAAACACTTTTCCATTCAGGCAAACGATTATTAATAAGATTTAGGTTTCAAGGGTACCGTTGTTAATCGGATATTTCCATCTTTGCATGAAGTATCACTTGAAATTACGCTTACAGTTTCTTTGACCAGTATTTTTAGAACTTTTGTATTATATTTTCCTTCCTGCAAAATATTCATGAAATGGCAATGTTTGATTTGGCATGTTGATTCTTGATTCTTGAACTAAATTTACAAATAGTCCAGATAAGCCTGTTTTTTTTATTCAAGGAAGTTTATCTCTACAATTTGCATTCAATTATTAAACCAAACTTGAACTTGACTGGGCAATTAACTTTATCTTGTCAGTCAACTCCTTCCGTTTATTTCAGATTTGATATTGAAAACTGTCTAATGTGTATCCATGTGCACCAGTTTCAATGTCAAGTTTCATACTAACATATACATACAGGGAGACCAATAACACTTTGGAAAAGGAATCTGACTCCCATTAATTTTGATCTAAAATAGTCCAATAAACGCTAAAGACAGTAATTTTCCAGGGTACATCACCTAGTTTTAGTTTATTTATGCAAGATTGGTTAAATGCCGTTTTCTTAGTCTATTCAGCTTTATGCGTCTTCCTGTATAAACATACAAATATTAATCCTGTTCTACAATGAGAAGGGTGATGCACTCACTCGGAATTAATCTTTGATGTCAATTAAAGTCATCAGTATTTAATTGTGTCATTAAAATCACTCCGAATTTAGCCTCACCTAATTAATCTGCAAAAGATTGAGACCAAAATGTGCTGAAAAGTTGTTGAGCGTGACCCTGCCGCGTCTCATTACAAATTCTCTAACTGCGCGTGACGACATTTTATCTTTAAATCTGGAACATTCGATCAATCAACTGTTCAACACTAAACACGAACATCGTGAAGGAATTAAAAATAAATATCTTGAATTCTTTTTTTTTTGCTGCTAAGCTGCAAAACGTTGAAAAAGATTTAAAATTTGAACTTTCTCGAAATCGAAATTTTTTCACGCATATAGCTCAATGCTCAACCTTCGAAATTTCTTACTCTGTAGTTTAGATTTGGAAAAAATTAGTTTAATTAATTAATTACCAATTTTTTATAGTTTCTATTTATGATCAAAGCAGTAAAGTCTTCCATCATGCATATCGAGATAATGCTTCATCCGCTATTTCAGTTAATCTTCAGATTAATTTAATCTTGATTTGATATCCAGAAAAGTGTAAAAATTCAACCAATCAGTATTGTTTGCACAAATCGAACAGCCAACCAGAAGCTTGGAAATTTTTGCGTAACCAATGAGAGAACGCTCATTGATTGGAGCCAATATGATTATCCAAAAAAAGACGATTTAGCAGAAAATCAAAAGTTTCCACAGTAGTTATAGAGATTAAGAGATAGGGATTCAGGGTATTTAACACAAAAGTTCCCAGCTCAGCTGTGATAACGAGTTTAACGCATTCCATGCATTTAACTCATTCTGCTTTGGAATTATGTGTTTAAAAATACGATATTGAAAGATAGAATAAGAAACAGGCATGAGTTGAAGTAGAGTAGAGTCGAATAGAGTAGAGTAGAGTAGAGTAGAGTAGAGTAGAGTAGAGTAGAGTAGAGTAGAGTAGAGTAGAGTAGAGTAGAGTAGAGTAGAGTAGAGTAGAGACAGAGTAGAGTAGATAACATGAATGGAATTTGAATTTAATATCTTTAAATCTTGATATGTGTGAGGTCAAACTTGTGAAGTTATAGAACCAAATAGTTAACTAAATACAAGAAGATACATAGATGAATAGATGAATAGATGAAAAAATGAGTAAATGAATAGATGAATATATGAAAGGATGAAAGGATGAATATATGAAAGGATGAATAGATGAATAGCTAGATGAAAGGATGAATAGTCTATAGATGAATAGATATATTAGATTTGGTACGTCTGCATATTCATTTTGTTACAAATAAATATAACCATAATGTTAAATCTTTAACTATTTTGTTACATAAATATAACATTTTTGTTACATATAAATATAACCATAATCTTTAAATCTTTAACTATTTTGTGACACCAACATGACAATTTTGTTACATTTAAATAACCCTTGTGTAAATAAGAAATTTCATTTTTTTTCCTTTTGCCATAATTTCTTATTTAAATTTATTTATTTCTTGTTGTCATAATTTCTTTAAAAAATTTATGTATCTTATACTATATATAAAATATAAAGGTGGAGTAAGAAACTTTTAGGTTAATTATACAAAGAAATTGAGTCTTTGCCACAAATTCAAATTTTCTAAGTCCCATATCTTTCATACCTAATCATGAAAACTTTTGATATTTCAAACTTAGATTATTTGATCTAACAGAAATCTTAGTTTGAAATATCTAAGGTCTATAACATAGGATTGCAAAGATATAGGAATTAGAAAATCGAAGTTTGTGGCAAAGACTCGTTTGTTTTGTAATTTGGATAATTGATGATTTACACTTTCATAACAAAAAAAATACTTTTTACTAAATATAGAGCTGTAAAAAGATTCATCATTTAACATTTTTTTCACCTAAAATCCTGAACCTAGAAGACTTAGAACGACCCATGAATACTAAAATAACTATGATCAAATAGGTTTTTGATAATGATCTTTAGAGAATAGTTTTGTTTCGCAATTCTTTTAGGCATATAGCTAGCAAAACCAGAAATTACTTCTTTTTTTTACTAGTTTAACTAGTTGTTAACTTGAATTATGCACATCAGAAAAGTGTGCATTGTATAATGTATATTGCAATGTGTACACCCCAATTTATTTGGTAAATATTTAAAATTTGGTGATGGTGATGGACCAAACCTCTGTAGGATAAAAAAGTAGATGTTAGTTCCACATTTATTGAAAATATATTTCGGTCTGGGTTGACCCTCGTCAGTTCTAACGATATAATATGGTACATATGGTACCACTGTTGGTAGAAAGATAGAAAGTTTATGTTAATGATGAACCCCTCTAAACAAGAATATTATCTTGTTTTCTTCACAACTAATAGAAATATTCTTCTTGTTTTCTTCACAACTAATGGTGAAGTAACGAGTTCTACAATCAGTCCTAGATACTTCTCAAGAATAAATGAAACATATGTCACGCCTTTTCTTGCAATCACACTCTTCACAGAAAATATAAAATAAAAAATATCAAAAAATAAACCAATCTTCACTCGACTAGGTATCCTATTAACTATGTCAACAATTAACTATCAACTGTTAACTATAAACTATTAATTATTTAATATTAACTGTCAACAATTAACTATTAATTATTAACTATCAATTATTAACTATTAACTATAAACTATTAATAATTAAATATCAATTATCAACAGTTAACAATCAACTATTAATTATTAACTATTAATTATTAAATACTAACTATCAATTATTAAATATTAACCATTAACTATTAACATATTAACTATTATTGCAGAGTGGTGCAATCTTATACAAAAGTTCCTCCTCTGTTTATATATTGTTTACATGGATATTGGATATGGGAGAATTCGATAATAAAAATATATTTTTGAAAATTTAACATAATATTTAGCAGTTTCCGAATTCAACATATCTTAAATTAAAAACTTATTATTATTTATAATATCACTAGGCTTGTAGGGCGCTTCGCGCCCATCTTCTATTTAAATTGTGAACATGTTCTTTTTGTTTACATTTTAAAACAACGAAGAAAACTTTTTTGCGGATTTTAAAAAAAAAATCGCGGATTTTCAAGAATTTAAATTTTTTTTACAAAATTAAAAACCTTTAAAACACATTTTTAAAAAATTTTTATCATTCATAAACCTTCCCCGTGGTCACGTGATGTCCCACAAAAAAATTGGGCCCGATCGGTTCAGCCGTTTTGACGTTTATTGGATACAAACACCCAAACAAACAGACAAGTCAAATTGATATATAGAAAGAGAAAATAATTTACATTTATATTCAAAAAGAAGAGAATAAAATGAATTATCAAATTTAACTCTTCGAGGAATGATGACATTATGCAATATGCATATAATCTAGTTTCCACAGTTCATAGTAGGACATGAAGGAAATGTTACATTTTTACAATTAATTTTTTAAATTTTAATTCTTAACTTGTCACATGCAGTATATATTATTACGATCTAACGACAATCTCTTTTTGAATATCCCCCCCCCCCCCATCTTACCCCTTCGGAGACACCCTGGACTTACCAGGGCGATACGTTTAGTTTCTTCAATTTGAAAGCAACAAACAGTTAAATAGAGAAAAAAAAATATTAAAGTTAAATAGGTGAAATTTGGATTGAAATCACAGCTTGGTGGAACAAGGACTGAACTGTTAGATATCTACGTGTACAAACTAGTTCTATACAGTTTACAAGAAAAGGGAATTCTTTAAAAAAATTTAAAATAGATGTTTTAAAGTTTTAAGCATGAATAAATATGATAAAGGATTTAATGTATACCACAAATAAAATATTTGTGGGGGGGGGAAGGGGGGTTTGATCTGTTACATTTTTCCCACATCTCCCTCACGTATGATCATAAAGCTAAGATAATATGTGTAGTACTAGTATACTATACTCATGTATAGAATATTAAATAGGTAAAAAACCTCGTGGTATAAACAAGTTTTAGGATCATCATGTTTGTCTGTTTCTTCTAGTGTGTGTGAGAGAGAATAATTTAGCTTAGTTGTCTATTTATGTAATACTAAAGGGTGTACATAAAAAAGATTCCCACTTACATTTTGAATTCTAAAACTCTTAATATTTTCAATAAAAGCTTCTGAATTCATTTTTACCTTACATTAGTTATAATGGAACTAGTCCAAGCTAAAAAATCGGATTTTAAAATGATTAAGTAGTTTTTGGTCATCTGCGACTTGGCGTTAAGAATTCTAGCAGTAGCAGTAGAGACATTACACAGGCCTTCTACACTCTATACACTCTACAGAGGTTCTTATTTGCGTCTATCTCCTTCTTCTCTGCAGAGTTAGTATGGCAGGGATTATACTGTTATCTTCAACTAGTTTGCTCTTTCTTATGCCATCAGCAATATCAGATGCTTGAATTTTAGGTTCTTCTTCTTTTAATGAATATAAAATTATTAAATACTCCTTTAATTATGATATTAAAACCTTAAAATCTGTATCCAGCTTGAAGAACGTTTTTGATACTTCCAGTACCCTGGCCGCGGCAATTGAAAACTTCTGAAGGAAGCCAACTTTTGGACTTTTAAAGCAAGTTTGTTATAAGGATCCATCTATGGTCAATGCAAACTTCTTCCTTATGTGTATGTCTATGGTTTTGAACATTTTTCGCTCAATATTGTAGATTTACAAGAAATTAGAGAAGAAATGCTATGTGGGAACCTTTTTTATATCACACCCTTTAGATTGGGAATCCAGGAACTACATTTTCTCTATAAAGTCAATCACCTAAACTTAGAATTTCCAAACCAAGCTAAGAACATTCCCATGGCTCTACAGAGTGTCCTAATCAAAGGCAATTGCGTCTTTGCCAAAAACTTGGATTTTTAATCCCTATATCTTTGCAACCCATTGTCGAAGACCTTTGATATTCCAAATTATGAATTCTTTCATTTCAAATAATCTAAGTTTGAAATATCAAAGATTTACATGATCTGATTGGAGCGATTAAGGGATTTCAAATTTGAGCTCGTGGCAAAGACTCCATTTCTTTAAAACAAATCGATCAATGGGTTCCTGAGCTATATGATCGGATCTAGATATCAGGATCGAAATATGTCCGGACTCTATCT